TTTCTTGCTTTTAAAATCTTATATCTATACTAGTAAATAATACTTTTCTAGACTTTCTAGATCTTTTTAGTTTATTATTTAATCTTCTCAAATTACTATATTTTCTAAATATTTTCTAGTTCTTTATAAATAACTTCAAAATAGAAATCTTTATATAAAGTCTTATTCTAATATAAAATAAAGAAAATTATTCAGATATTTTTAGGGATTAGATATATATTATAGTAGAAAAGGTTAAAGACAGTTTAAATAGAACCTAGTAAGACTATAAGTTTCTAAGCTCTTTTATTATTAGGACTAATATAGAATACTAGTTTATTTATATTATTAATAAATTAATAATAGTAGATAGGTTTACTAATATAGAAAGAGAAATAAGAAAGTAGCTACTAAGAAACTATATTAGAAAGAGTAGAAAAGACTTAATTATTTATTTTAAATTAAAAGCCATTTATTAAAAAACATTTATTAGAATTTATATAAAGAATCTAGTAAAAGAAATAGAAGAAAACTTATTACTAATTTCTTTAGAAAATTGAATAGTTCTTTACTTAGCTTTCTAATTCTTTATATTATTAAATATTTACTTATAAAGAACTAGCTATAAAACTATAGTCTATAATTCTATAAAACTAGATCCGGCTATATTTTAATTTATAAGACCTTAAAAGGCTTCAGGTAGCTTATTATTAATATAAGAAGCTATAACCTAAATAGTAGCCTAAATAACTCTTATATTTATAACCTATTAAACTTATATAATAATATAAATATTACTAGAAAAGTAATTAGATTAAGTAATATAGCTTATAGTAAAAGGAAATATAGAAAAGAGTAATTATAGAGCTATTAGAATAAAAGAAGCTTGAAATAGAATAGAAATAATACCTAGTAGCTATATAGTAATAGTAATTAGAGAAATAGATATAGTAAATATTTCTGGAAAAAAAGATATAGAATAAGAATACTAAAAAGAGCTAGAGATCTAAAGTATTTTAGGTATAAAAGAAAGAGTAAATATAGGCAGAATTTTAGAGCTATAAGATTCAAATCTACTAGTATTACTATTTTAGGCAAGTAAAATAATAGTCTTTATATTATATTTATTATTAGTAGATTAATAGAATTTATAATATTAGATATTATTATATTAGTATTTAACTATAAAATATATAGTATTAAAGCAGGTTTTGAGAAATAATAGTACTATTTTAAAAGATAAGAATTTGAGAATATAAAATATTTATATAGTAAATAAACTTAATAATTCTATTAGTATTATTCTTAAAAGTAAAAAGAGAATTTCGAAAATAATATATTTAATAATAAATAATATTTATCTTAATATATCTAGTTATTTTATAACTAGCTTATTTAACTATTTTATATTATTAGAAATATTACTAATAAAAAGCCATTTCTAGATAAAGTTCTAGACTATTAGGAACTATATAAGTATTCTTCTAGCCTATATATTACTTATATATTCTATATTTATTAGAATAATTTATTTGAGAATTCTATTCTATATAATAGTAATATTATATTTACTAGTTAGCTTTTCGAACTCTCCTAATATTAGTAGCTGCCCTGAGGCTATATATATCCGAACTATATATTAGAGCTAGTAGTAAACTTGAATATATAATTAGTTACTATTTCTATTAGTATTTTTTATATAAATATTAGTTATATTTGTATTATAAAATATAAGCTTCTAATAATACTATTCTAGTATTTCTCTTAATAGAAACTTATTAATATCTATATTAGTATATAAGTAAACTATTTATATAGAGCTATATAAAATTATATTACTTATCTTAAACTAAATAATTATTAAGAATTATATTATAAAGCTCTATATCTATAGAATAATTCTAGTACTATATCTTACCTAAAAGTCTTATATATAATCTAAATAACTTACTAGCTACTATATTAGGCCTAGATCTGTTTTTTCTAATTCTATAGATATTTTATAAATCTATAAATCTATATATCTTATTTTAGATTTACTATATATAAAGTACTAGTAAAGTAATCTAGTTCTATAAATATTAGTAATTATAACTTCTAGTATAGGCCAGTTCCTAAAAGTAGTTTTATATATACTAATTGAAATTAGTTATATAATCTGCTATTATAATATTAGACCTAATAGCCTTAATAAAAAATAGTATAATTATTAGTATCTAATACTTTCTTCTAATAATAGAAAGAATAAGAGGCAAATATAGGGAAATAGAATTACTTATATATTACTAGTATAGCTGGCTTTTCTAAAGCTTCTATTACTAGAATTTAACTTATTAATTCTTAGTATTTTTTCTAGAAATAAAGTAGTTCTCTATATATATAACTAATAGATTAGCTATTTATAAGAATGCAAAGTATATTTTAGTAATAAAGGGAAGTTCAGAGCCTTAATTAGCCCTAAAGAAGTAAGGGCAGTAGTCTATTTAAGTATAAATCTAAAGATACTACTATATAATTAAATAGGTAATCTAATTAGAGATTCTAATATATACCCAGATAATATTATATAAATAAATATTAATATAAGTATATATCTTAATTTCAAATAGTAATAGCTTATTATATCTATTAATTAACTAAATTCAGTCTAGCCCAGATATAATATATTCTTTTTTCTTAAACTATATCTATTATATTTATAATATAATTGTCTCGGAATCCAGAAGTTATAATATTATATATAAGCTCTTCTTATAAATAATAAAATATATTAGTAAATAAGGCTCTAATCTTTTAAGCTAGGGCAAAATAGTAAAGTATAAAAAGACTAATCGGGTTACTAGTAAACCTTATTAATAGAAATATATATATAAATACTACTATTTATAACTTGTAATCTGTCTATTATTTAGCTTATTCTATAATATTACAAATAGTTATTTATCTACTGCTTACCTATCTATTATAGTTATATAGTAAATAAGACTAAGCTTCTTGTATATATAAATAACTCTAGTAATTAAAGCTATATAGTTATAATTTTTAAGATCCTTAAGTATTTTCTTATCTATATCTCTCAGATAAGATAGAATTATAATCTATATATAAAGAAAAGGCATATTTACTATTTGAGTATATACTTGAATATTCTATTCTTATAGTTAGTATTCGATTATATAGGTATTAATATTGATTTTCTATAAATCTTTTAATCTTATTATAATTGTTTTATAGGAAACGTTTATATAAGCCTATTTAATAATAGTATTATAATATAGTAAAAGATTTATAGAATATTATAGCATTTTAATATAATTAAATAAGGTATTAATAGTATTAATATATTATAAGTTCAGGCCATATATTACTATTACAAAGTACTTTTAGTGACATAAGCGCTAAATTACTGGAGCAACAGTGAGGCATACCCTAAAAATAGAGGGGCAGGCATGCACGGTTGTCAGAAATCAGAAAATCAGAAATCAGAAAATCAGAAATCGAAAATCAGAAAATCAAATCTTGCTTCTCTGTTTTGTCGACTAGCTAGCTGTGGGCCTCAGTACATCTACCAAGTCGTTGACGAGGAGTTCACGCAGAAAGGCCATACTGTCATCATCATTGCTCATAGGCTTGGCAACCTACACACGAAGGTTGGGAGAGATGCCGTGGCATTTATGGCAGATGGTAGGTTGCAAGAAGTTAGAAGGGACTTGGTGCCCTCGACTTTCCACCAGTTTGCCCCGACAGAATAGACACTGTGTTGGCGCTTTCGGGGGGCTCCTCATCTCAACACCCTGGTCCACGGATTTAGGATCCAACTCAAATCCACTGCGACGTTTATAGTAGATAGTCTCGCAGTGTGTTGCAGAGAAGAATAAAGAGGTGGGTCCATTTTTGTGGGGTGGGGAGTATATGCTGAAAGAACATGATAATTCGAAAACGGTAAGGTTCCCGCAAGAATTTTCAAAAGTGTATGTTTTGCTTAGGGCAAGATACTCGCCTAAAGTGTTATTTCGAGTTGCAAACGTCGCTATACTATGAAATTTATCTAAGCAATTCTCCCTTGCTGTCACCTGGTGAAACGGAGTACAAGCCCGCTAATGCCCCTTTCCTCCGCCCCGCTTCACCTCAGTTGAGAACTTGCTCTGATTTCTCCCGTCGAAGTCGACCGTAGGCCATGAAGCCAGCTGAGAGTGAATATTCGTGTTTGTGGTCCTGTAACAACAGCCACATTGCTTGTGAGCATCCGTTGGATGCCCTCTCGGCGGGATTCGATCACGTGACGGGCTTGCGAAACCAGGTAACATCGTACTAAACATACAACGCTACTATAGGAACCGGACCCCTGATTTGTCTTGCTAAAGCCTCTCAAATCCGATAGGTATTTCTCCTCCTTCGAGCCAAACCCGTGCTGTCTCTGTGAACAGTAGGGGGTTGCCTCATCTTCGGGCGCCCCCAACAGTCTCCGATTTAGCTTTCTCCCATTTTCCATAAGCTTGACCGCATCATGAGGACGATCTTCTGAAGAGATTATACCACCTTGCCAGCCGCAACGATGAGAGTCCGCGCAGGCCATCGGAAAAGCAGGTAGTCCCTATATTGCGGGGACAATCTGTCGGCAGAGAGCCGATATACGTGAGCCCGATTCCCCACGCCGGATGTCCGTACCATTCATTAACCAAGTTTTCAAGGAACCGGGCACGAGTTTTTGGATTCGATGGTCAGCCCAGATAGCATACAGCGCGAAGTAGGAGAAAGTCGTGGGCGGATAGATCCTGAAGTCTGAGACGAAGAAGGCATTCATTTCGTCCGGGCTTGGCGATGACACCTGAGGTAAAACCTGTATCGATCCTGGATCGATTTTGGACTGGATCGCTTAGGATTGTTGAGGATCGATCCTAAGCGAAATTCTCACTGAGGGCGTAAGGAGGCCTATTATATATTGAAGGGAGTTAAAATCTGGGGTGCCTCAAGCCATTAGAAAACCCTGTACATATTCCTGGAGGCACACCTTACCAATTCTACATCACCTTCTTCCCGAACCTTTTCTCATCCCACACGTCAGCGTAACTAAGGGGCAAGCCGTGATAGCCCGGCGGTTGCTCTCCTTTGCTGGGTAGTATCCTTTTAAAGTAGCGGGACTTTAATGTGGCAGCTTCAAGGCATGAAATGAGGGCTTCCTTCTCTTTCTCATCGGAGTCCCAAACTTTCATTACGTATTGCTGCGGCGAGTACTCTATCCCGTCTCGGTCCATGTAGAGATACTTTTCATCTCTCTGTGGGTCGTGGCGGATATCTAGGGCCTTGACCATGGCCTTGGCCGTCTCAAGCCCGTTTTCCATTGCCCAATGGAGAATCGTCATGTTTCTATACCGCCACTCTGCACTGGTTACACCAGCGAGGAGGTGCATTGTATCTTTCTGCCGGTTCTTCCAGTCCGATTCTTCGTTGGCGATCTTACACCAAGGGTGGGGCGTCGATGCGCAGACACAAGCAAGCGGCACCATGTTGTCGAACTCTTCTGCTCTGTGGTTTGCATCATGAAATTTTAGAAGCCATTTGACGAATTTAGGCAGCGCCAGAAGCGCGGCGAGGTGAAGCATTCCGTCGTTCGGCGTCATCTCACGCGCTACGAGGCGAAAGGCTTCGAAGTTGCCCAAGTGTAGACAGGCTTCGGGCAGAAGGAGCTCGCCGGCAGGGTCTAATAGGTCCGAGTCCTTTTGGAATACCTGTGGGTACATAGCCAGGGGACCAAACGAGGATCCAGGAATCACGTAATCTGATATTTGGTCTCTATCCAGATCGAGCAAAGCTTTCAAGATGGGAATGCGCGTTTTGTCCAGGAGGCAGCCAAAAGCCGCAGATACCTTTGTCAGTGGCGTCGAATACGCTGGGAATGCTGCACCGTTTTTTAGTCGCAAGGAAATACAATATGGCAAATGTACAACATACCTGCTTCTCCTCGAGACAAGAGCATGAGGATGACATTGTTCTCAATCCTAGGCTTTGAAAAAAGAGCCCAGATCAGGGCTGTACATGGTTCAGGCTTCCAGCTAGCGCAAAGGGAGTGATCCGTTTTCGCTGATGCAGACAACCCTTGGTCAAGGAGAACCTTCAAGAGCTTGGTTCCTCCTGGGAATTTTCGCATACATTGGAACACTAACTCATCCTGGCCAATTTTCTCCAATCGGGGTTGTTCCTTAAGACACACCTTAAACCACTCTATGATTTCCGATTCCTCTTGGAAATTTTTCAGAAGCACTTTCAGAACTACTCGCCGCTTTGCATATCTACTGAGAGCTCGAAACTCGGCCAGCGCTCCCGTTTTGGCAGTTACGGCAAAGCAGTGGCCATTGTCTTTGTTTGGGTCGGCACCCTTTGCCAAGAGTAATTGCAAAAAGGAAATATCGGGGCAGCCGCCCTTGAAGCTATCTACAAGAGCTTGAGAAATGGACGATTTGCGGATGTTCCATTCCAACAAGAGACGATAGATCTCCACTCGTGCATGCTTTTTGGGCAAGGGAGTCTTGCGTACAACCTCAAATGCACCAGCGGCCATGTTGTCGTCGACAAGGTATTGGGTCAGAAGCCTCACAGCCACGAGAGAGTTCGGGGAGTTCGCTCGAAGGGCAAGGGAGAACGGTTCGCCTTTTTGATAGCCGGGAGAGGCGCCATTTTCGAGAAGTAGTTTCGGAAAAGACAAATCACCGAGGTCAACAACCTTCAACGAGTCAAGGAGCTTCAACGAGTCAAGGAGAGCCTCAGAAACGTCATCGCTTGGGATCCCTTTGGCCAACAGATGTTGATAAATCCAATATCTCCTTTCTGAAGCCATCGTGATTTGCCGGGCATGTTTGAACGTTCTCACTACTGTGTCGGCACTCTTGATGCTGCTAACCAGCACGTCGAGCAATTCGAGAGAAGATGTTTCCAGAGCTACCTTGAGGCTTTCAAATTTAACTTCGGCGCCATATGCCAATAATAGTTGTGGCAGCTGCGTGCACTCTGGGAGGCTCATAACAGAATGAGCAAGTAATTTTGACATGTCCTCTGTCAATACCCCAGCACTAGGGGCAAGCAGAGATTGATAGACTTCTTGTTTTTCGTTCCAACTTATCGTAGATGATGCTGTTGCAAGACATGCCTTGGTGAAAGTGTAAGAAGTAGCTACTGCTTTATGGCGAAGGAGGAGCCGAAGCCCTGCAAAATCCCCAGATAATGCAGAATGTATCTGTTGCAATAGAGATTCTGATTGCCCAATCTCGGCCGACTTCGCCTTCTCCAAAAGAAGCCCCATAGTATCAAGTTCCAAGCTCCTAGGGTTGGCGTAAGTGGCTGTATGAAATGCTGCTTTTAACGAGGTAATGCTCGGGTTTGCAGAGAGAATCCTTACGAGAAGAAGAACATTCTTTTCTCGGATGGCGAACGAGAGGAGGACTCCGTTTCTAAGGTTGACATCCAATCCATGTCGAAGGAGACACGGAACAATCGTAGTTATATTAGGATTGCCTCTCAACTTCTCAGAGGACCATAAAGTATTCAACGCAGCATCAGCATATCGGGTGGAGCTAAGAAGTAGTTCCAGAGCCTCAGAGGTATAATACCGTGGATCGAGGGCCACGAAGAACCCAGATTCAATGCTCACTCGTTTAAGCGGACACGATGCGCATAGTATCTGTAACAATTTGAAATTCGATGTCGTAAGCGCAATGCCAAAGGAAGCGCCGCTCGCGTAGTTTGCGTCAGCACCATGTTTCAGCAAGAGGCGTACAATATCCAGTCGGGATTGCTTAGCTGCAGCCAGGAGGGTCTGGTGGATTGGTAGGCCAGCCGCCCCCTTTTGAAGTAATAGCTTGATCATATTCTGTGCCACATCATACCCGTAAGTATCCATCACGCTGAAGGCGACGGGAACAGCCCAAGACAAAGTCTCGTTTCGGCAGTGGCTAGCATCACATAGCATTCTGAGTATCGATAAGTTGCCTCTCTGCGCGGCTACCAAGACAACATTGTTGGCGTTGTCGCCAACTCCATCCACGGGTGCTTTATGCTGAAGTAGAAGCTGAATTAATTCAGAGTCTACATCGCCTTCTTCAGACACCAGGCTCCGTAGCGGAATGCCGAGCTCTTGAGGCAGTACTCCTTTCTCGACGAGAGCCTTCATTGCCTGTAGTCGGATATGTCTCGGTTTTAAGATCATCGCGGTGGGTATTGTAGCCGAGAGGAGCTTCGCTGAGCAATTGTTCCGAAGAAGGACGCTGAGTATGTCGAGGTCCGCATTTTCTAGGGCTGTCTGTATAACGCAAGCTTGTTCAAACTCAATCGACGCGCCATAGAGAATTAACGCGCCAACGAGCTGAAGGCGCCGCCTTCCCACTGCACGAATCAAGTACGAGTCCAGCGCCTCGCCAGCCAGTCCCAGCGGCCCCAAAATTCCCACGAGCCGTACCATATCCTGCTCTGATGTTGAGTCGGGCACGAATTTCAGTGCCAGTGAGATGGGCGAAGTGAACTTGCAACTTTTGAACAACTCCAGTATGTCAAATTCCATGCGCGAAACTGCCCAGTAGAGTGCGTTATGGGGCTCCGTGTCCACAATGACGCCAGCTTCAGCTAAGAGTTTGATCAATGGGAGGTGACGAGTTTTCACGTCCTTCACCAACTCTTCGCGAAGAACCAGACTGTCCGCCACGAATTCAGCTTTAACAAGCACCGTGAAAAACTTGTGCCTACGGATGTCGTCCTGAATACGGGAAGCAATTTCGCATGTGAGCTGGCGAACGTAGGGGTCGAAGACATTTCCAAAAAGGTGCTTCCCCCACCCGTAAGCGAGCATGATTGCCGTGGCCGGGAGATTCTGTAGTTCCAGTGCTTTGTGGAGCAGATGCGTGCAAGCCACCTGGGGACGGTGAGCGAGGCACAGTAGGAGGGGTTCGAGAGATCGTATCCATCCGTCATCCAAGCTCTGAACTTCCGCCTCCAAGCAACCCCGCCAGGCCTCGACGCTCATCGCGTTTGGAGCAGACAACAGAAGCCTCACCAAAGCAACATCACGAAGCTTGACGCGTTCTTGGATAGCATCTCGGCAGGCAGTAGAAGCAACCGCACCAAAGCTGAGAAGCACCTCCATTGCCTCCATTGAGTGCTTCGACAGTACAATTCCGAATGCCCTGTCCAATGCAGCCTGGTCCAACCCAGCCTGGCACATCAAACGGATGTATTCAAGGTTTTCTTGGCCACAAACCTCGTCCAGCCACGTAATCTCGGGAACCATGGCGAATGTCTTCTCGAGAGCCACGGATGATCTAATCCTGAGAACCACGGAAGATATGGACTTAGGCAGCGCGGGAGGCTTAGGGATTTTGGAGCGGCTTGCCGTTCTCTTCTCCAACTGTGGATCGTAGAAGTGACACCATAGCTCCTCCAAAGAGGCTACGCATGCTTGAGACAGCAGAGCTTGCGCAATACCAGGCGCTGGGAGCGGCGTGCTAGACAGGAGATCATCAAATGCCTTTGCGACCTCATGCTTAGTGAAAGTCCAATTGACTGTATTGCATTTTGCCTCTTTGCTCTTCTTCGACCTGAAAATATGCCGTTTCTGCTGGCCGGGTTGCCGGTAGCCAGGCTCGCTGGTTCGTTCTTGGACGAGCAAGGACCGTACTTCATCGATGTTGCTTGGAAGTGAGGCCCCAAAATCACGAATCTGTGGCTCGGCCAAAGTCGGAATCCGCTGTGGTGGAGATAACTCAACCTCGTCTAGGATGGCCTCGATTTGTAACTCAGCCTCGTGGAGGGAGTCCATTATTCGACCAAAGTCGTGGGATGTCGCGACTGCTGAGCCCAAATGGGACTTCGAAGGCAAGGAAAGATATGGCATGCTTGAGCTCGCGAGCAAGCACAGATGCACCTGCCAAAAGCGCGGAATAGGAGATGAAAAGGAAGAAGGAATGGCTTGACGAAAGTCCGCAGCAGCTGTCCCCCCCTCTTCGGGCCTCGATGCTTACATGAGATGAGCCGCAATATTGGGGCGGGCCGCAAGGTATCTTTAGGCGATCAGACAAGAGAATGCGTTCAATGAGGCAAGGCACCAAGCGCAAATAGAACCCTTCTCTGAGACGGCTTATCAAGCTGCTTGGACTGATCATAGGCTCAAGAACAAAAAAAAAACGCGCAAGAGGCGCTGGCTGGTGAACCTTCTCCAATGCGAGCCATTACTTTGACCAGCAGGTGTGACGTGGCCAATGCAATGCCGGCCAAACCCCCCATCGGGCTCTGCATCGGGTCAGTGCCATTTTCCAGTCGTGCGAACCATAAAGCATCCCACGCTTCAGCTCCTTTGGGTCTATATAGATAAGGCTCTCAGCAACCCCAACACCAGCTCCTACTCAGTACAATTCGTGTGTTCTGAGGGCAGTTCTACATCCACGGTCTCTTCAACATGGCCTCCAACCCACCTCCCTACACCTCGCCCCACTCTGTGTCCCGCTCGAAGACTTCGCGAGACGAAATTCGATCGTTGGCAGACGAGATGCTGCGAGCCTCGTTGACCCGCGGCGCCGCTTCGCCTGCGTCGTCGGTGGGTTCCACTCCGCCCTCCTACCGCCGCTCCGCCCGTCCCCCTAATCCCGCCGAATTGTTGAGTCGTGAGCGGAATCCCGGCGCCACCCGCGTAGGGTCGGGCTCGATCACACGCGACAGCATCACCCGGGAGAGCATCACCCGTGACAGATCACCCGCGACAGCATCGCCCGGGACAGCAAAAGCAGCAGTGTCAGCAGTGTCGGCAGCTCGCTTCCACATCCACCACCAGCACGTTCTCGGCAGCCGATGCCAAGGCTCGGGTGCGCCATCTGCAGCGGGAAGTGGAGCGGGCGAAGGCGGACGTGCCGCAGCGGGCGACAGGGGGATTATTCAAAGCCGCATGCTCGGCCGACCTGCTGTTCCTCATCGATACCACGGGGTCGATGTACAGCTATATCAACGCTGCTAAGGAGCAGGTGAGGAGCATTGTGGATGACATCAAAAACTCATTTCTCAACGAGTCCGAGGTGCGTGTCGCGGTGGTGAGTTACAAGGACCATGGGGACCTCCCGAACATCGAATTCCTCGACTTCACGCCGTCAGCTGATCAAGTCTTCCAATTCCTGGGCCGTTTGAACGCCTCTGGCGGAGCGGACGCCCCCGAAGATGTGCTCGGTGGCGTGTATCAGGCGCTGAACGTCTCGTGGAAGCAGCAAACGCGTTGCATTATCCACATTGCAGATGCACCACCACACGGCGCCGGCGTATTACACGACATGGGCGACGGCTCGGATCACTACCCCCACCCTGGGAGTGAGCCGCATGGCCTTACCTACGAGCCACTCCTTAAGCAGTTGATCCAACTCGATGTCAACTACGCCCTGCTCCGTGTCAATTCTTCCACGGACCGCATGGCCTTGGCCTTCGCCCAGGTTTATGCTACCTCCAATGCGGACGCCAAGCTTCTCCCGTCCAATATTTACTCCACCCAAGTGAATGGCATGTACTCTAAAAGTCGCAGCGGACTTTGGAGTGGAGCAAGCACCAAGCACGCCGATCTCCAATTTGAGGAGATGGAGCTTGGCACCACGTATAGCCAGCTCCGGCATTTGGTGGTTAGGACTGTCACTACCTCTGTTTCTCGCACGGCGGGTCGTATGTCATTGGCATTAAGCACTGTACCCAGGCGTAGTGCTGCTGGCGGGAAAGGTAAGAGCATGGCTACCGATCTTACCGCCATTAGGGAGGATGAGGGTAGCGGTGGGAGCGCCAGGGAGGTGTATTTCGAGAAAGACCCGCCGCAGTGGGACACACCTGGCTGGCTGGATGAGACTCTGGAGGTCGAGGGGTTCTGCCCCGACATGGTGGTGCAGAGCGCCAACTCGCTCAATGAGATGATGAACGCCGATGAGAATATCAAGCTGAGCGTTACACAGCTTACTATCCGTGCACGGTCGAAGCCGTTTGCCGAAGGCTCGGTACGCGTAGCCTCTTATGCCCGCACAGCAGCCTCGACTAGCAAGTTCGTGGTTAAGTCCTTTAAAGACGACAGCAAGATGCTCGCACACCTCGCTGAGGATATGCGGATCCAGGCCCTTTGCAAAGCTTTCGCTCTCGAGTTTAACGGTCTGCTGAAAATTGAGCCCCCGATTGATTTTATTGTAACAACGTGCCTACAAAGCAAGGCGAAAGTAGGGTCGGAAGGCGGGTGCCTCTCCCTTGAGCCCTTTATCGACGGAGAATATATTAAGTATAATAACAACAGCATGTTTGTGAAAGAGGATTCTCTCGACGAACCCGACCCGTTCAACCAGATAGCACAGGCCTTCTCGCACTTTACCTTCGAGCGCTCATGGGGACACTTCCTAGTGAACGATTTACAAGGAGTAGGCCACTTGCTGACCGACCCAGCTATCCAGACGGTCGACCACGAAAGATTCAAGCTAGCTGAAACTAACCTCTACGAGGAAGGCTTCAAGTTTTTCTTCGTCTCCCACGAATGCAATTCCATCTGCCGTAAGCTAGAGCTCAAGAGCAACCGCGAGATGGTTGTCTCAGGAAACTACGAGTTTCGAGAGCGTTGGCCGGCTATAGAGCCCACCGTATGCTGTTCCAATAAGCTCTGCCGCCGGATCGTCCGCCTGGCGAGCACCCACGAGTCCGACAAGTTCCCCAGCTACCACTGGTGCAGCACGTGCTGGCCGCAGCTGCAATCGTCTATGGTCCGCTGGATCTGCATGGCCCCCGGTCCGAACCATGAGTTCGATATGTCCAAGTTCTTTTACGAGTCCCAGGGCCAGCTTGCGCCCCGCAGATGTCCCGAGCACGTCGAGAAAGACAAGAGTGTGTCGAGCGCGGCCGTGGTGGGTGGGAGCCTGTGGAGCAGGATGAAAGCTGGAGGTCCTAAGCGGTCTATCGCTGGGAGGAGTTGGTGAGCAATTATCAGATGTCCGATAAGGGATCAAACCTACCACCTGAGGAGGTGCGGGGGGCGGAGGGTTATGAATGGAAATACTGGAGGTGACAAATAAAAGGATTCTCGGGTTATGACCTTCCTTGCACAGAAGTATATGAAGAAATACGGATCTGGATTAACACACTCTGCAGATGAATTAAATCACGGGCAGCCTGCCAGTGGGAATTTATGGACAGTAAGAAATCAACTCCTGATTCGAATTTTGGATACATATCCACCGCTCTCAAAGCTCTCACCACAGCCTGTAGTAAAATACGCTAGAACTGTTCCTCGCTTATAAAAAGGAAATCCTTTTCTCAAAGGTGGATTCCTTTTTCATTAATTTAATTATCTTCTTGATGCTACCAAACGGCCTCGTACCAACACCAAACTGCTTTTCGCCAAAAACCTCATTCATACTAATAAAATTCCTCAACCTCAAGTCAAGATATGTTCCGCAATCACCCTCATATGCATCGGAGACCGTAAATAGATACCTCGGAGGAAATGTTAGGCCAGCTCGGGAAGGCTAAGCGTGTCTTTTGTAATATATGCATGGTCTTTAGCACGGTTGGACGAAGTCTGGAGATATCTAAGGATCCATTTGGTATTAATAGATAGCGTTGGTATTAGATCTGAAGATGGCAAGTAGATCACGATGACATTCCCATATCTTAGTTTATACTCTGTGTTTGACGTGAATAAGAACACTTAATAAGAAGATAAGAAATGGCCTGTTTGACTACGACCATATTCTAAGGAGGACTCAATATTCCGTCCTGCTCTGTCATTTCTATGAAGGATCTATCTTTAAATTAGTCAATCCACGTTCCTGGGACCCTGGGAACCTTGTTCATTCTTCGTGGCTTCATATAGCCCACAATCTTCCTTTTCCAGCGCCTGTCAAATCGTTGAACCGTTATATCAGCCATCTTTCTCCGTTCAATCTCCATTGGCCCCAGATCGACAGAGTCCACATAAGAGTGCCAGCGCGGATAAAAATAAGGCCAGTTGTACAAAACATTCGGCTCCCAGAAACCACTCCGCTTCGAATGGTGCATAGGGCCCAAATGTCTAAATTCGTGCAACGCCTCGAAAGCCTGGCTGCGTGGATCCATAGCCCAATCAGTGCTTACCCCCCATCCTCCCCCCTCCTCTGAGATAATCGACGCTCGTTCCCGTAAATGGCGACCACTCAGTCTAATTTTCGCCAAAGCATCCATACCGTCGAAATGAATAACTCGTTCGGTGCATGGGTATTGCCAATCAATTTTCCCCCTCCTCTGCTCCCCATGCGGTCAGTAAGCTTGCCGCTCTTACTCAGGCGCTAATCGCCCTCGGCTCACTCTCGGCTCAGTCAACTCACCTGAGGAACCTGAGCACCCTGAGCAAGATTTGCTATACTGTCACGTGTTTTGAATTCTCCTTTATACTAGTCACACTTGCTTTAACCTCTTGCCTAAGCTAGAGTTCCAAGGAAATTTCCTCTCTGTTTTTGATTTTCTTTTTCGACTAGAGTAGGGGCTTACAGCTCGGGTACCTTTCAAAAAAGGTCCGGTACCCTAGACCTACTTCTTTTATTTTATTTTAGATCAAATACCCTACAAATCCTTAGGAATTACTATATTAGGTTAGTTAGTAATTATAGTAATAGAAATAATTAACAATTGTCGTACGGATACGGGTACTAGGGAGCTTAGCTTAACTTACTCAGTAGCCCCTTTATTTAGCTAGATCCAGAGGCTCCCTTAGAGCTTCTTTTTAATCAGACAACCATTTATGCAAATCACTGTTCCTTATTTTCTGCAATAATAATTAAACACTTCCCCTTATGTGACGGGCTCTTACGAGCAAGGTCCGGACCGGTGCGGGGACCGTTAATATAACAGATTAAGTATAAATGAGTCCTTATTAATTAACTAAGAATACTAAACTAGAGAAAAGAGAAAAGGATCAAAGAGCTTGCTGCTTGTGACGCAGGTTGTAACGCAGTTAAGCCAGGCCTGTAGCGGACCGTAGGCGGGTCTCAAGTGCCCTTTAGTGCCAGGCGCACGAGAACCGTCACACGGGCTTAGAATCATAAGGACCTCCGTAGGTTAGCCCTCTTTCTGCTTATTTTGGAAAATAAAGACCCGGAAGAAGCCTGTTATCGTGTCTAAAACGATAGGACGGCTTCGATGCTCAGGTTCCAACGGGTCCTATTTAGCAGTTTCACGGCTGTGACACCTTAGTCATTATCGACCCAATACTGCGGTAGAATATACGGCAGACCAGCGAGCTGACTCTGTTGACTTTACTCGTAGAGGAGATTATACGAAAGCTTCTAAATATTGCTGTATAGCGTCCTGGTATATTATTTGATGTTCAGTTCAATAGTAGGAGCCTGTACGGCCACAGTGGATGCACTCTTCTTTTCCGATTATGCGCCGATGTGAATGAAGGGCGCCCAAATACTTGGCCTATTCGGGTACTCGGATTGCAGCTGCAGGGTGGCCCTTCTCAAAGCCGACGCGGGCGAGGCATATCCGCTTTGGCCCTGCGGGCACGTCAGGTGCGTGTAGAATAGAGCCGCTAGACGCGTGCAGGCATCATCGTCGGCGGGCCAGAGGGCCGCAACGATGTGCACGAATCCTGCTACCTGGAAGGCGCTGGCCAGGTGCAGGCTCTCTTCCTTGAGGCGATCGGCCCGCACCGCGGCTGTCGAGCAGGCCGAAAGAAAGGCCAGCCAAGAGCTATCGTGCGTTACGGTGGCGGCGGATATCATCGAGAAGGTCAAACTGTCGGCTGCCGGGCCCCCGCCGCCGTCTTTCTGCAGCATGAAGCGGCTCTTTAACGGATCCACCAGGTCGGCGGACCCATGGCAGGCGAAATGGACCATGGTTGATCCGGGGATGCAGGCGAGAACCTGCTCTGCCGTGGGGTGCCGCAGAACTTGGCAGGGAGAGAGCGGTGCGAAGATGTCCTTGATGGCATCCGCTTCGCGATCTGCTCCTTTCAGCGCTCTCTGTCCAGGAGTTGTGGGCATGGCCACAACGAGGACGCGATGGGCTTTCACGGCCCGCCCGACGACGCCGCAGCTCGCCGCCCGGGACCTCGAATAGCCCAGGGACTTGATGGTAGGTGCGTACGACGGTATCATCTGGTCTGCAGCACTTTCGACGGTGCAGCCGCCGCCGTCGGATGTTGTGACCACGGCATGTGCAGTGTCACGGCCTGGACAAGCTGTGGAAGTGGAAACGTGGTGTTTGGTGTAAATATATGTATGAATGATGGTGCCCTAATGGCGGTGAAGAAGCTATATATACGCCTGTGCGCAGCACGTGACATGCAGCGTGGAAGGGAAGCGCGGTTGCGACACCCGAACCGATCCACCAAACGCGCGACAAGACATCGCCGTCGCCGCCGTCGTCGCCTCGAAGGCCCAAGAGCTTGTTCTCCCTCATACGGGAGACGACCGGCTTGACGCACCCATGCCACAGCCACATGAGTTCTTCGTCGCTGGTTCCGATGCCGTCGTCGCCATCTTCTTCCGCGTAGATATCTCGCTCCGAGGCGAGTGCCGTCCGGGCCGCCCCGAACCGGGTGTATGCGCGCTGCACCAACGATGGGGCCTGGACGGCGCGAGCCTTTGGCAGTGGGATTGCGTCGGCGCCGTTCGGCGTTACGATGACGGCGTCGGAGCCGATGTCAGTGAGGTTAACCACCACAATGGGGCCGTCGACGGCTTGCGCGACCAGCTCGTCGAAATCCGGCTCGAGGAGAAAGTTCCCGTAGCCATCAAGCTTGCGGATGTCGGCGAGGCAGCTGACCATATCCTGGATGGCCCGCCACCTCTGGTGCCGCAGCACATCGATTAGGGCAGGATCTTGGGCATTAATAGGCGCCTGCGCCTGGAGCCGCAGGGTGTCGTAGCGCGCGGCGAGGGCCGGGTGACGCTGTTGGAGGGAGGACAGCGCCTCAGGTTCTTGCTTGTCGTCCATCATGTACCCGAGGACGATGCCACGGCCAAATTCGAGCCACTGGATGGCCTTGGCCGCATGGCCGAGCTTGAGAAAGACTGAGCAGGTGTCGGCCGCAAGCCCCGACACATGGATGGCCGAGTTCTGCTGGTCTTCTCGCGTGGCCTGCCGGCCGCAGATGATGGGGAGCAGTTGCATGGCGGACTCGGCTACTTGGCCGGCACGCTCCCAGAGCTCTCTTCCCGCCAGCACCCGGATCACATTCCGGGCCGCGGCCATGCGAATAACCGAGGGCGCATGCAGAGACTCAAAGGACTCGACATAGCAGGCCAGGGCCCGGTCGGCATCTCCCAGCGGGACGGATGCGGCGTCCTGGTTAGCTTCGTGCACGGGCAGTTCTACCACGTTCCCGAGGTTCATCAGCCACTGCCCCCGGGATGGATGGTCCTCGGCAGTGGCGTCGACGCTTGTCTGGAGGACCCGGACGGCTTCCATCCTGGCTGCGGGGTCGCCTGTCTTTCGGGCAATCTTGCCGAGGGCCCAGCCAAGACTGTTCAGCTGGGTGGCGTGGTCCGGACTGTCCGGATCTTTCTCAGACGTCGACTGAACGCACTCCCGGAACAGCTCGACGACGGTTCTCATCATGGAGATGTCGTCAGTGACCTCAGCCAGCAACATGAGCTTTGTGGCGTAGTTGTGTTTCCAGTCGTTCTTCTCTGCGAGCACGTCCGGCGTAGAGTTGACAGCCTGTTCCGCGAGCCTGGCGGACTCCACCATGGCATCGAGTTCCCCTGTTCGTAGGAACGAGCTCCGCAGCAACTCGGAAAGATTGTCGAGTCGCCGCGCGATGGCGACGTGGGTATCGGGCGTCTTCGCCACCGATTTTCTGCAGGCATCAATCGCCAGCTCCAAGACGCGGGCCTCATAACTGCGCTTGTAGTATTCGTGGAGGGTAACACCCAGGCTGTTGAGCCATTCCGGAGCTTCCGGGTCGCCCGGACGGCTGCAGTCGACCGCTTGTTGGGCGAATTGGATGGCCTCGCCGCCGACGGCGAGGTCCCTGTACCGTTTGAACAGGCTATTGAGCTGGTTCGCTAGGTTACCCAGCAATCCTGACCGCTCCCAGTGATCTTCGGACGTGACGCCCACCACCCGGCGCATCAACTCAATGCCCTGTTTCAAGTAGGTCGTGTCGCCGGTGACGTTGTATTGGGCCTCATACATAACACTGAGGTTGCTCGCCCTGCCGGTCCACATGCCGTTGTCCTCGGGAGTCTCGTCGACTATTTTCTTGCAGATTCTGGCGGCGTCGGCAAGGACAGCTGTGTCGTGGGTTCTCTGGAAGAGCAGGTGAAGCATAGCAGCAAGGTTGTTCAAGGGGAACATCCTGTTGAAGTGTCCGTCGGGCATTGCCTCGACAGCCAGGTGGGCGAGCTGAACAGCTGTCTCAAGAAGCTGAGACTCGCCATAGATCTCATACTCCCCCTTCAAGATGATGGCGTGGTTGGACAGGTTTTCTGCTACATCATAGTCTTTTATAGCTGGATTAGCCAAAACCTTCTCCAGGCCATTTGCTATCAGGGGTGGGAGCAAGTCTTCCTCCATTGGAACGGGCCGATGACGGGCGTCTGAAGCCCTGAAATTTTGCGTGCTACTTCGAAAATCCTAGCCACCTTTGGGACGCTGTTTCTTCGCAGGGACCCAGGACGCAAGAGATGAACAATGCGCATAGAAGGATTTTGGTGCGGGGACAAAAGCGGCAGAATTCTGTTCTGGAATAGCTCGAGCTCGGGTGCTTGATTGCAAGATGAGGTTAGGAAAAAGCAAAAAAAAAACCTAGTTTGTCAAAGTGAGGCTTTCCAGCGCGGTTGCCTTTCTTTTTCGGAACATCGATTTTGCGTTCCGGGCTAGGTAAGCCGGATCCCCATACAGTAATAACTCAGCCTTAACGTGCTCCACAAGTAAGCTGCGCACGCCCCACTAATTCGCCCACCACATCCACCATTCAAACTAAAATGCCTCAATCAAATCGTGTCCAATTTGGCTCAAAAGAAGGCCGTATGGCTCTTGCAATTAATGCGTACAAATTGGGCCATTTTATAAGCAAACGGGGCGTTGCAATCGCGTACGATGTTCCGGAGTCCACATTACGAACGCGCCTCTTAGGAACACGAATGCATCAAGAATTACGGTCAGTAAACCTTAAACTTACGGAAACAGAGAAGTTAACGCGTGTAGAATGGATATTATCTATGGCTAATAGAGGTCTACCAGTTTGTCAAGCTTCTATTCGAGAAATGGCCAATTTGTTACTTCAAAAGCAAATATCTACCAATAATACTCCGATGCGTCAAGTTGGCCAAAGTTGGGTCTATAACTTTATTAAACGCCACGACTCACTTAAATCGAAATACAACCGTAAATACGATTACTAACAGCAAAATGCGAAGATCCTACGATACTACGCAATTGGTTTCGGCTTGTACAGAATAAAATTTAAAAATATCGGATTTAAACAGAGGATATATATAATTTTGACGAAACTGGTTTTCAAATGGGTGTTATTTCGACTGAAATGGTAGTTACAGGCTCTAAACGAACCGGCAGACTTGTAACTATCCAGCCAGAGAACCGTGAATGAGTTACTACTATTAAGTGTATTAATGCCAACGGGTAGGCATAACTTCCATTAATTATACTTAAAGGAAAGGTCCATATTACAACATGGTAGATAGAGGGCAAAATACCACTTGATTGGTCAATTACGCTCGGTGATAACGGGTGGACTATAGACACCTTAAACTTTCTGTGGCTTGCAACTATATTTGAGAAGGATACAAGTGGTCGAAATCGTGGTGTATATCGACTATTAATCCTCGACGGGCACGGAAGCCATCCAACCCCTGAGTTCGACTTGTTTTGCAAAGAACACAATATAATTTCACTATGTATGCCGCCACATTCGTCGCACCTTCTTCAGCCACCTGACGTTAGCTGTTTTGTAGTTGTAAAACGGCTATATGGTCGCCAAATTAAGGGGCTTATACGAACAGGAGTTTCTTATATTCAGAAATCAGGCTTTCTTCTAGCTTATACTATAGCTCATACAGAAGCCCTTTCTTCGACTACAATCCGTAGTGGTTTTGCAGTAACAGGAATACACCCTTATGATCCGGAACGAGTTCTTTCAAATCTTAATACTTAGTTACGTACACCAACTCTCCCGTTACAACCCTTGAATGTGCCTAGCCCTTGGGCCCTTGAAACACCCACATAATATACAAGATCTAAAACACTAATTAGCGGCAGTTTATGGGTTTATTCAACGCCGTACAGCCGGCTCTACAAGCCTACAGACCAAGCAATCTGGCAACTTGTAAAGGGTTGCCAGTTAGCCATGCACAGTGCAGTAATGCTTGCTGATGAAAATAATAAGCTACGGACCGAGAACGAGCGTCAAAAGAAGAAGAGATGTGTAAGAAGGCAGTATATAGCTACGGGAGGGGTTTTGACTATTCAAGAGTGCTTAGATCGAATAAATTCTACTGGTTTAGGGGCAAATAGTGAATTTGCAGGGGGGGTGGAATAACACCAAACGCGTGCGCCACAGACGTGTAGTTTGTGTAGATCACTTATACACACTGCTCGTACGTGTCAGTTAAAAGGCAATTCTAATTAGAAACGTGTATTAGGGCTAATTTAAGTGGTTGTTGTGTAATTCGTATTTATGGTGGGCGAATTGGTGGCGTGTGCGCAGCTTACTTGTGGAGTACGTTAAGGGCCTTGCATAATTCAGACTTTGTCTTCATGATGCCGCTCACGTGAATTCTCGTTTCTTTTGCCTGCCTCGCGAGGCGTCCAGTCACGGCCCTCTCGACCCATCTTGCCTAAGCCTTAACAGTGATAAGGAAATTTTCAGATTTTGTTTTCTTGGCAATCCTGCTATGGCACAGGTCACATTGCGCCTGCGATTAGTTTCTGTCTGCACTCGACTTGCTTCTTTCAATTGTCGTGCGCAAGTTGTCGAATTGCTCTTCTTGTAACATCCCTCGAAATCGTGGGACGACATTTAATATATCTAGTGAAATTGCGGTTTGAGCGATGGATAATTCCAATGAGACTATCCGACGAGGCCTCGCAGCCCTTGACATGATTTCAGCAGACCACCCTGACCGGATAAAGCTGCTGAACAGCATTGGATTATTGCTCTACCTCAAATACACAGAGACAAAGGCGATGATTGACCTCCAACAAGCCATTCGAGTGGCGCAGGAAGTTCTCGAAGCCACCCCAGAAGGCCATCCGAATAAAGAAATCTGGTCAAACAACCTCGGAAATCTGCTCAGCGACAAATATTCGAGCACAGGGGAGATGGCTGACCTTAATGACGCTATTCGAGTTGCAAGACAGACCGTTCATATGACTCCAAAAGAGCACAAAGAGCGGCCAATGTGGTTGAACAATTTTGGAGTTCTTCTTAACAACAGATATTTGAGGACAGGCATCGAATCTGACCACGAAGAAGCTCTCCAGGTGTCATGGGAAGCTGTTCATATCACACCTAAAGATCACCCAGAGCTCGGAGGGCGATTGAACAACCTAAGAGTCCAGCTCGGACACCGATATTCGAGGAGAGGGGAGATGCCCGATCTCGAAGAAGCTATCCGAGTGGCACAGGAATGTGTTCGTGCGACACCAGAACATCATCCGGATCTGGGTGGGCGGTTGGAAAGCTTGGGAATCCTACTCGACAGCAAGTACTCTACAACCGGAGCGACGGCTGACATAGAAGAATGTATTAGAGTAACCCAAGAATCCATCAATATGACACCGAGAGACCACTCATATCGTGGATCGCGGTTAAACTTGCTTGGAGTTCAACTTGCAAAGCGATACATGAAGATGGGAGAAGTGGCCGACATCGATAACGCCATTCGAATTACGCAGGAAGCTATCAGTGCGGTGCCGGGACAGGGAGGCCAACCAGAGCGAGCAGGATGGTTAAATAACCTGGCAATCTGCCTCGGCCAAAGATATACGAGGATAGGGGCACTAGGGGATCTAGAGCAAGCCATCCAAGCATCACGAGGAGCTGTTAACAACACTCCCGAAGCCGACTCAAATCTAGCGAGTTGCCTATGCAACCTTGGCTACCTACTCACAGACAGGTACTCAAGGGTACGGCAATTGACCGACCTCGACGAGGCCATTATGTTGATACGAAATGCCATTGGTTTGACTCCGGAGGACTACACAAGTCAGAAAGCTGCCTTGAATAACAACCTTGGACTGGCACTTGGAGAAAGGTTTTTGGACACGGAGACGGAGACCGACATTGACGAAGCTGTCCGAGCCGTACAGGAAGCCGTTGACCTGACGTCAAGAGACAATCCCAACTGGCCACAGCGGTTGCAAAACCTGGCAGCCATTTTCGGTAAGAGATATGCGAATACAGAATCAATGGCCGACCTTGAGGCATCAATTCGAATGGCACAAGAAGCTGTCGATGCGACTCCAGAAAATATTCCAAACCGTGCGATCTATCTGAGCTCACTTGGGAAAGCACTCTCTGCCCGGTTCTTGAAAACCAACGCGCAGGCTGACCTCAAACGAGTCATATCTTGCTCTAAGTCTACTCTATATCAGCCCAACTCATCGATTACTTCTCGCATAGAGGCTGGCAAATCGCTCCTTGCCTGTTATGGGTTCACGTCAGACTGGCAACTGGCCTACGACACCGCAAAGGTTGTTCTCAGCCTCATTCCTCAGCTGACCCCGCGCTCACTCAGGAATTCAGACAAACAGCACCTCCTCAGTCAGATTTCTGGGCTGGCATCTGATGCCGCAGCTGCCGCGTTGGAGATTGGAAAAAGTCCACTAGTGGCGCTTGAATTTCTTGAGCAGGGTCGCGGTGTGCTTGCAGGATCCCTCGATGAGTTGCAAGTGGATGCTCTGGACCTACAGGAGAAACATGGCGAGCTAGCAGAGCGGTTCACCCGTCTCCGAGACGAGCTAGAGCCGCCAATCATCCGAAACATCTCATTAACGGAAGAAGACCCTCAGCCTTGGCAGGCTCAGGCAACGCGGCGTTACGATGCAGCAGACGAGTTCGCTCGACTGATAGCCGAAATTCGTCAGCAACCTGGGTTTGCGGATTTCTTACTTGCGCCAAGCAGTGAAGATATGCAAGCTGCCGCTACTTATGGTCCAATTGTTATTATTAATGTCAGCGGGTATCGCTGTGATGCGGTAATCGTTGAACGCCAACAAATACGCTCATTGGCCTTGCAGAATTTAGATACCAACGAGATTGAGGAAATAGCTCGGAAAGGTGATCTAGGGCATCCCGACACATTAGAGTGGCTGTGGCATACTATCGCGAATCCGGTTCTGGATGCTCTTGGTTTTCGGGAGCTACCGTCTGCTTGGCCACATATGTGGTGGATTCCTACGGGGCTTCTGACCAAATTTCCTCTCCACGCGGCTGGACTTTTCAACAAGAGTGGTATCGGTAACACACTTGACAGAGTAATATCATCTTACAACTTGTCCGTCAAGGCAATCATACGTGGCCGCCAACGTCGCATCCCAGCATCGATACCATCGGCTTCACCCCAAGCGCTCCTCATTGCCATGCGAGATACACCGGGATGTATCAGTCAACTCCCCTTCGCAGCCAAGGAGGTGTCTATGCTACACGGCATTTGTAGATCTATGGCTATTGACACTATTGAACCCAGACGATATAAGAAGGATATCTTAGCTCTTTTGCCGAGTTGCAAAATCTTTCACTTTGCCGGACACGCCAACGCGAACAGAGTTGACCCTTCCCGGAGCCAATTACTCCTAGAAGATTGGGAAACGGACCCGTTGATGGTCGGTACTCTGATGGAGATGAAACTTCGTGAGCGTTTGCCATTTCTCGCTTACCTCTCGGCATGTGGGACCGGTCAAATCAAAGACGACAGATTTGTCGACGAGAGCATCCATCTAGTCAGTGCTTATCAGCTTGCGGGGTTTCGTCACGTTGTGGGCACCCTGTGGGAGGTTAATGACGAAACCTGCGTAGACATAGCCAGAATGACGTACGAAGGGATGAGGGATAAAGGTATGACAGACGAGGCAGTATGCTGGGGCCTTCACACAGCGATAAGGGAAATTCGGAACAGGTGGGTCTCGGAAATGGCACATCCCAGACAAGCAAGCCAATTGATGATATCGGGCTCGAATGACGGAGACCTGGGAGGTGCTACGCTGCCAAGGGACATTGAAGCCAGCGACCAGGATGATGAAAAACCTTTGTACTGGGTTCCCTATGTTCATTTCGGGGTATAAGAATATCAATAGAAGCAGAGTCGCAGCATATATTACTAAATTTTCTACGTCGTATTTTAAGGCCCAAGTAAGCAATGTGAAGGGCAACAACACCGTGGCTGATAGAGGGAGAAGCTAGCAAGGGGAAAAGTCGACCCAGGACCGCTTTTGAGATATCTCTCGACATACGCCCCGACCTGAGTTCACGCGCCACCCGAAAGGACACTCGTATAGGCGTCTAGTGGCTTTGCCTTGGCAACGGCAATAACTCCCACGAGCCACTGAAAGCATGAGAGCTATTCCGTGGTGTTAGACGGGTATTTGGTCGGCGTAGCATTAATATTGCGATTGGGAATTTTGTTGGTAATAGTTAGGTATATGATGTCTACTTCGTCAAGCCATGCTTAGATATCGTCTATGGCACAACAACTTCAGAGGCAGGATTAAGTCGTAGATACCCATTAACGAGGACATAACAATCCTAATCAATCTGCTGCGAGTGCCTGGGGTATAGTTTAGGGCGTCATGAATGAACAAAGGGGCGGGATGTTTCCTGTTGCCTGGACCTCGGGGATGTACTTACACCTAAGTCCATTAGAAAAAACAACGGCGAAATGTATGGATGTGGGAGATGATTTCTAACATGGGGAAGAAGGGAAGGGAGGAATACTTCTGTTGGGACAAGATCAGAGGGAGTAAAAAATTGCGGCTTCTCTGGGTATAACAGAGAAGAGAATAACGATCGTCTAAATATATAGCAACTTTTTAATTAGATAACTATACTAGTACTTATCTATACTCTACTTCCTTATATAGCCCCGTTATAATATTTACCCTAAATCGTAGTCTTATTACTGCACTATTAGCGCGGTGTCTATATATCATAGTATTACCTTTATAGCTTTCCTTAAGCCGCCCCCTAATCCGCGCCTCCAGCGCTAATATGATGCGGTATAGCGCGAATACTGCAGCATGATAGTTTTGCCTCAACAACTTCATATTGAAGGAGCTCGCTGCCGCAGTCTTATTTAGCACTTATCCAAACTGTGAACGCTAGCGCTGCCCAGTCTTCTGTCATGTCATCCTCGATATTGCCCGATGATACGCGAGAGTGCGACAACTCCTTCAGCTCGGGCACTGACTGCCCGAGCCTCGGCAGCTCGAGCGATAGAAACGAAGTCTGCCGAGTCGTGATAAATACTTTGAAGACATCTTCGCAAACCTCGTGGCCAGCCTCCTCCAGCTCGGGAGGAAGCTTCATCCGGAACTTTGTTCTCAGCGTTCCCGGGTATCCCTCGAGGGGCTTTCGCGGAGGCAGGACATGATACTCGTGGGAGACTATGTTCTGGATATTCCAGCGCGGCCCCATGTCGTATATGTGAATGTAAATTGTCCGATCACCCTTATTCTGCACCTTGAAGGCCATCTGGTCGCCGGTGGTGACGTGAACCACATCGTCGGCATTGAATTCACCCGAAGGCGTGAAAAGCTGTGCCACGAACGAATTGTGAAACAAGCTGTTGTTGACGAGTTCTTTGACCAGTTTGAATTTAGTCAAATGTTCCAAAATGGCTAACAAGTGCGGTATCCCTTCTTCCATATGGGCCGAGATGATGGGGATGTTTGACAATGGCTGATCACGCCCATCTAGGATGATGTAGTTCTCATCCGTGTCCATTTTCACTAGAAACGAGTAATCTTCTGTGCCAAGGTTGGAAACTTGGGCATTTAGGGAGCCGCGAGATTGTAGAGCTGCGGATACGTCCGCGAGGAACTTCAAATCAGGGGCCAGCCGTATGGGGAACTTGCGGAGAAGGTTTCGCGTTATTTGCCTCGCGCCCCAGCCTGTCCGAATGCTCTGCACGCTGTTGTCGGCGATGGCATCTGGAAATTCCAAGGTTGACGTCAACTTGCCGGCCGTTCTGACGCGGGCAGGTACATCGTCTGTTGCTACGCTGGTCCCTGTCGCGGGGTGAGTCGAGAACAGGGAGAACAGATCCCCCTCGGTGACGCCATGCGCCATGCCGACCTGCAGTCGAATTCCGGCCCCTGCACTCGAGATAACAAAAGTGTGTGGGTCGTGGGCGGGATTGTCGTAGCCCGCAAAGAAGCTGAGGCTCCTATTCCCAAAAAGCATAGGGTTTTGTCGCGGCCAGCGCTCCTTGAACTTAGCACAGATGCAGCGGTATATGTCCAGTTGCGGAGCATGCGTTCCCTCCCACATAACCAGGGTCTGTAGGAGCAAGCATGACAAGATTCCGTGCTTCTCCTTACCATCCAGGACATCTTCGCGCGCAAGTTCGCTGGGGCCGCATGCAGTCATGATGGTATAACCTTCGGGATCGATGAGCCAGTTGGGTAAGGAGACCACGTCCCGACAAACCGACAATCTCGAGTTAGACGCTAGGTCGATATAGAGGGCGGCACCGGCTGGGTATCGTTGGTCGATCGTCGGATCGTAGCTGAGCTCTCGAACGGTGAGGTCGTGGTCACGACGCAAGACACTGCCGGAAAAACAACAATCGAGGATCACCGTGACCAGCACACCCTTTGCCACGATGCCTTTCAGGGAAGCGGCGAACTCCTCGCCTCGTAGGTAGCGAATACCGCGTCCGTCAGAGGTGAGAAGATTCAGTGCTAATTCTCCCGTCGCCTCGTTCGCGAACGCTCTCGTCGCATCCATGCGCGTGCCGTGTCCCGAGAAGTGGACATAGGCACAGTCGCCTGGAGCTGCCCGGGCCGTAATATCATCCAGGGCGGCCGTTACGTTCTCATAGGTCGGCCACATCCCAGGATCCTCCGCTGGAGTGGTTGCATCCGAACCCTCCCGCGTCGTTGCGGTCAGCATTCGTATCTGGACTTGGTGACGTCGCTTTTTGAGGTAGGCATTGATTGCTTTAGCATCGTTCACAGCGCCTTGGAGAGGTTTCTCGCCATAGCAGTCGATACCGACCAGTAGGGCATGGTATGATCTGGGTCTGGTAAGCTCTTTAAGGTCCATGAGGCTCAGGTTTGCCGCTCCTTCGTGTGGATAAGATCCGATGTTGGACGAGCAAACTAATGCACGTTCATTTGATGTCGTGGAATAAGATGTGCCTCTGCTGCCGCTAACCTTAGGGCAATTAGGTGGAGGACCTGTCTGATTCGAGGCTTTGCTTTCCCGAAAGAGACCACAATAGATAAAAGTTCGAAATAATTAGCATGCTCCAAACCGAAAAATAAGTGACGAATTCTACAAGCGAGCTGACTGACTACGGGTGACCATAGCGACCAAAAGGGTCAATGGCTTTTTCCGCAAAATCGAATTTTTGGAAAATCGCATTTTTGACTTATTATATATTACTTACTTGAATTATTCCACTTTTAATATATCGTATATATTGTACAGTACTAAAAATGCCTCTAAAGATTAATCTTAAGCCTTATAAAAATAAGATTCTTAGTTAGGTCTCTAAAAAGTATATAATTCCTGAAATTTTAAATAAAATAAAAAGAATTCTATAAATTGAATATAGCCTAAAAATACTAAAACAAGCTCTCTCTAATTAGAATATATTATATAATAGGAAGAATAGGTCTTCTAAAATTAAAAGAATTAAATTATATATTTCTGAGTTATTTATAGGCAATTATAATAATAATATAATTCTCTAAATATTCTTAGTTAAAGAAATACTTTTCTACTACTAATAGCTTATATAATATAGGCTAGATTTTAGCTTTATTCGGAGAATAATAATAGAGGAAAGAAAGTAGAAATACTAATAGCTTATAGGTATTATATAAAAGAAGCTAGACTATAAGAGAATTAAAGGCTATAGAATAGATTTAATTAAGATATATTTCTATTAAATAAGAATTACTACTCTTTATAAATTAATCTATAATATTATTAAGAGCCTAAATAGTAAAAGCTATAAGTATTATATAAATAATATATAGTATAAGAAGTAAGAAATAGTAGTTAAAGGCCCGGATTAAAGGTAGTCTCTTAATTAGTATAATAAGCTAGTTCTATAGAACTTCTAAATCTATACTACTATTAATATTTATTCTTATAATATTATCTGGTACTATATAGATATTTCTAATTATATAGTATATAGTATATTTAGCTAATTTCTTTAGATATTTAGAAAGCTTAGCTATTACTTTCGAGTAATTTCTTTTAATAAAAAAGAAGAGGTCTCTTTTATTACTAAAGTTTAATATACTCTCTTTTATATAATAATACTAATTCTTTCTTTTAAGAAGATCTATTACTTTGGGACTAGTATAAAGAATTAAAGAATTAAATCTTAATAAAATTAACTTGAGAAATCCCGGCTATATTACTAATATATTTATATTTATATCTATTTATATAATTCTTTTATTTGAACTAATCTAATATAGGACTTTTTTCAAGCCTTTATAGTAACTAGAAACTTTAATAATACTTTTATAAACCGAATTACTATACTAACTATTTATATATCTATTATATAATATACTATAGTATTATATATAGATATATAGAATTATTACCGGATCCAGAAAGATCTAAAGAGGAAATACTATATAATAGGTATTTCTATATTTCTTTATAAGTATATAGCTATTAAGTAATATAGACTTCTAGTTAATAAAGGGCTTTTAGCTAAATTAGTATAAGATTATATTAATTAGAATAAGTTATTTCTATAATCTCTTTCTTTTTCTAATTTAAATAGTAGCTTATAATATAGCTTGATTTAAAGGCTTATATAATTCTTGTTTAAGTAAATAAACCGAGTTCTAATATCTTTTTACTACTAGTTTCCTTTTTTAGTTCTAGGGCCTTTTAATTAGCTAAACTATAAATTTATTTTTATATACTAAGATTATTAGCTATAGATATTAATAAGTACTTACTATATAATTTCTTAATATAATATAAATTATAGTTTATAAATATTGAAATTAATTCTTTAAGCTTTATAGAAGAAACTAGTAAACTGAATAATTCTAAACTTTATATTAAGGTATATTATTACTTTTAGCTTACTATATAATATTATATTACTAGTAAAAACTCAAGCCTATAGCTAGAACTTGTTTTAAAGATTAAAATTAGTATTAAAAAGATATAGTAAAACGGATCTTACTTTAGATAGCTAATCTCAAAGAACTAGAAGTTTATAGAAACTATATAATTCTAATAAAAAGAGATTAAAAAGATAGATATTAGTAGAAAAAGTAATTTAAGTAAGTTAGATAAAGAAGAATAGAATAAAAAATAGTTAGATAAAAGAAACTTATTAGAGTAGAAGGCCTAAAGAAATGAATAAATCTTTATTTAAAAATCTTATTATATCTTTTATCTTTATTATATAATTTACTTATAATTATATCTTCTTTCTTTCTTTATTTAAAAATGGCTTCTAGAAAGATTTCTAGCTTTTTTCTAAAATGCTTTATATATAAGAATACTTTTAATAAGTCTAGCTAGTTCTAGTATAAGTAATATAATATAGAAATCTTTTATTTGCCCGATTTATATAATTTAAAACCTTAGTATTATAGTACTTCTTTAATTAATCTTATAATATCTTTTCTTATATTTTAAAATATAAAAGAGACTATTATTAAGATTTTAAATAGTAATCCGATATCTTTTATTAGTAACTTCTATTATATAGCCTTTTCTTTTCTTTTTCTATTATTTAAGAAGCTCTTTACTAAGTTTTATTAAGCTTAGGCCAAGCTTAAATAAGAAGCCTCTTTAATTAAATAAGAGAAGAAAAAGAAAGCCTTTATATTATATAATATATAAGTTACTAAACTATATTCAAATTATTCTAGTTAGATTAAATTAAAGCTAAGATTCTTTAGAATAAGTAATTCAAGCCTATTCTTTCCTATATCTACTATCTAATTATATAGGCTAAGAGTTATTTCTTATATAATAACTATAGCCGGTTTATATTAAGCTTCTATTACTATTACTATTAGAAAAGAATAGAAATATCCGAATACTAGCTTCTTTACTCTCTTTTATTATCTGTAATTCCAGATAAAAAAATTCAAGTTTGAGTTTTAAAGAAAGATTATATAATTAGCTCTTTTTAAAGTTTAAGAGTATTATATCTAGCTATCTAATAAAGAGCTTAACCTTTCTTTTCTTATATTTTCTTAGTTCTATATTTTTAGTATATATATATTTTTCTTATCTATTAATTATATAATACTTATATTATCTTAAAGAGTAATATTAAATATAAAGTCTTTAGAATAAATCTCTTAAGACTTAAATATTGGAATAATAATTTAATATAAGCCTTTATTATTAATAAGCTTATAATAAATATTTTAAATAGAAGATATAATTAAGTATATAATTATATAAAGAAGCTAGTTTTCTAAACTAAAGAATATAAGACTTAAATAGCTATAGCTTAAAAGAATAAACATAATTTCTTTTTGCGAGATTTAGAAGAGTTTTTTTCTAGAGAGATTTATATAATAGGAAATCTTTTATTTTATTTAGTTATATTAGTCTAAAAGAATATTTATAAGTTTTAAGCTTATTTAATTCTATTTACTAAAAATAAAAACCTTATCTAGAAAAGCCTTTAATATTATTAAAGGAAATATAAGGCTATTCTTATATTACCTGAATTATTTAAGCTATTATATAATAGAAAAAAGAAGTTATTTCTTTTATCTTTTTCTTTAATTCTTTCTTTAATAGAATTTATTTCTTCTTAGTTAAAAGCTATTAAAAAAAAGAAATACCCGGTTTTATAAAGCTATATCTTATTATATAATTAAATAGTCTAAAAAGTAAATTCTTTTACTAAGCTATTTCTGTATTTTTAACTAATATTTATTTCTAGTCTACTAAAATAGCTAAAGCTAAATATATAAAAGTCGAGTCTATTATTAAAATAAAGTTCTTTTAACCTTTTCCGAAACTAGTAATATATTATATAATACTTATTTAATTTATATATTAATATTATTTTAAAAAGAAATCTTTTTCTAGCTAAGTTCTAGCTTTATTAAAAGAAACTATTCTTTTTCTTCTCTAATTCGTATTTCCTAATTCCCTAGAGATTATATATTAATATATAAATTAGTAATTTATAACCTTTAAATATAAAGAGATAATTAAAGAATATAAAAGTACTTTTCTTACTAAGCTTTAAAAGCTTAAAAACTCTATAAAAAAGAAAGATATAATTTAAGACTTAGTAAACTATATTTTTAAAAAAAGAAAAAACTTGAATAATTATATATAGAAGTATTATAGTAAAAATCACTGAATTGGGGCTAATATAATTACTTTACTTAGTTAGGATCTATATACTTGGTTCCTAAAGTTTTATACTTTATTTAAGCTCTTTTCTAACTAGTTAAATAAACTCTTTTATTATCTAATATAATTCCCTATTTTGTAATCTTTATATATATTAGTTATAAGCCCGGCCTTATACTAATAAGCTTCCTAATTAGTATACTATAAAGAGTATTTAAGAGCTTATTTAATTTATTCTTTAAAAAATTATACTTTAGTTCGTATTTCTATTATTAACTAATTAATAGAAACTATTCTTATAGTTCCTATAGTTTCTAAGGCTCAATTATAATTATATTAGAAGCTATAGTAAAGATTATTATTCTAAAGAACTATAGTTTCTGGGCAGACTAGTTTAATACTTTTTATAAAGTAGCCGGTAACGAGAATATCTAGAATGAGATTAATTCATTTAATAATAAAGTAATTAAAATAAATATAGTAGCTTTTTCTAGGCCTCTCTCTATAATTAATAAGCTTATACTAAAGGAAATAGAGGATTACTATACCAGATACTAAGTTAATATAGAAAATTGGGATAAAAATACTTAATTTATAATTGAGAAAGAATTAAAACTAGTATTTTTATAGTCTATAATATTCGGGAATATTAGAGACTACTATTCGGTACTCTTATAAAACTATAAGATCAAGAAACTAGACTAGATAAATAAGCTAATATATTACTATATAATTAGGTAGTAGCTCTATTAAATAGTTAATATAGAGATCTTTATAAATTCTATATTAGGCCTTAAAGAGAGTAAATAGAGCTCTATTTATAAGGTTCTTAAGGCTTTATTAACGAAATATAGTTCTATAAATATAGTACAAATTACTACTAT